TTTGTATTTCTCCTTCTAGAGGTCATTTTCATCCTTAGTTATTTATTCCTAGGTATTTAATGTTTTTGAGGCTATTGTAAATGGGTTTTCCCCCTATATTATTCTTTCTCATTCTGCACATTGTTGGTATATACAAAGGGTATTGATTTTTGTAAGTTGATTTTGTATCCTGCTACATTGCTGAAGCTGTTTATGGTGTCAAGGAGTTTTAGGGTTGATTTTTCAGGACTTTAAGGCATAAGATCATGTCATCTATGCATAGGGATACTTTGACTACTTCTTTACATCTTTATAGTCCTTTTATTTCTTCTTCTTTCCTTATTGCTCTGGCTAGAAATTCTGGAACTATGTTGAATAGGTGGTGGGATTGTGGGACCTTTGTGTCATTCATACTTTAAGGGAAATGGTTTTGGTTTTTCCCCATTAAGTATGTTAGCTATAGGTTTGTCATATATAGTATTTAAAATATTGAGGTACATTCCTTCTATTCCTATTTTCCTCAGATCTTTTATTATGAAATGGTGTTGAATCTTATCAAAGAATTTTCTGCATCTATTGAGATGATCAAGAGGTTTTTGTCTTTGCTTTTGTTAATGTGCTATATTACATTTAATGATTTGCATATTTTGAACCATCCCTGTATCTCTGGGATGAAGCTGACTTGCTCATGATGTACAATTTTTCATATATGTTGCTGAATTCAGTTTGACATTATTTTATTGTGGATTTTTGCACCAATGTTCATTAAGGAAATTGGCCAGTAGTTCTCCTTTTTTGATGTCTCCTTGTCTGGCTTTGAGATGAGTGTAATAAAGGCTTCATGAAATGGGTTAGGCAGTGTTCCTTCCTTTTCTGTTTCATGGAAAAATTTAAAGAATATTGGAAAGAGTTCGTTAAAGGTCTGGTAGAATTCAGCTGAGAATCCGTCAGGTCCCAGACTTTTCTTTTTTTTGACAAACTCTTTATTGATGCTTCAAATTCATTGCATGTTATAGATCTATTTATGTGGTTAACATTCTCTTGGTTCAACTTTGGATGGTCATATGTATCTAGAAATTTGTCCATTTCTTCAAGATTTTCCAATTCATTCAAATGTAGGTTCTCAAAGTAAGTAGTCCCTGATGATTCTCTGGATTTCTTGGTGTTCTTTTCTCCCCTTTTTTTGGTTCTGATTTTACTAATTTGGGTCTTTTCCCTCTTCATTTTTGTCAGATTTGACAGGAGCTTCCCAATATTGTTCATGTTTTCAATGAACCAACTTTTTATTTTGTTATTTATATGGGTTTTTTGTCTCTATTTCATTAATTTGGGCCCTTTTATTTGATAGAGGGTTATTAAAGTCTCCCATTACTACTGCGTTGGAGTCTATATGTGGTTTTAGGTCCTTTATTGTATGTTAAATGATGTGCATGAACTGATTTGGGTTCATATAAGTTAATAATTATTATTTCCTTTTATTTTCCTTTTTATTAATATGACATGTCCTTCTTTATCTCATTTCACCAATGAATGTTTGAAGTCTACTTTGTCTAATTATTGCTACTCCTGCTTGCTTTTGGAGGCCAGTGGCTTGGTAAATCTTCTTCTAGCTTTTCATCATAAGCCAGTGTTTATTTCTATCAATAAGGTGGTTCTTGTAAACAATATATTCTGAGATCTTCCTTTTTAATCTAGTTTGCCAAATGGTGTCTTTTGACTGGGGAGCTGAGTCCACTGACATTCAGTGTTAATATTGATACATATGTGGTGATTCCTGCCATTTAGTTGTTTTTGAAGGATTTGAGTGTATGCAGGTGAATCAATGCTACTCTCTAATTATATGTCTTTTCTTCTCCTCTGGTTTAATATTTCCCATCACATCGTGGTTTTGTTGCTTTTGACTTTTGTGTTTAGAATTCATTGCTGAAACTTATGTAGTGGTGGCTTATTGGTCATATATTGTTTTAGTTTCTTTTTGTTGTGGAAGACTTTTATTCCTCCATCAATTTTTAATGATAGTTTTGCTTGGTAGAGTATCCTAGGGCTGAAATTGTTTTTTTTTCTCTGCTCAAAAAACCTCACTCCATGCCCTTCTTGCTTTTAAGGTTTCTGTTGAGAAATCTTCTGTTATTTTTATGGCTTTACCTTTATTCGTTATTTGTTTTTTCTCTCTTACACCCTTCAATATTATTTCTCTGTTCTCTGTACTTGTTATTTTAATGATAATATGCCATGGAGAGGTTCTATCTTGGTCAAATCTTTTTGGTGTTCTGGAGGCTTCCCGTACCTGAATGGGCAACTCTTTCTTGAGATTTGGGAAAATTTCTCCTTTTATTTTGTTGAATATATTATGTATCTTTTGAGATTGTACCCCTTGTCATTCTTCAATGCCATAATTCTAAGTTTTTGCATTTTGATGGAGTCACTGAGTTCTTGCATACTCTGTTCACAGCCTTTGAATTGTTTGACTAAAATTTTTCCTATTTTTTTCTTTAATATGTATTTTATCTTTGAGCTCTGAGATTCTGTCTTCCACTTGTTCTAGTCTGCTGGAGTGACCTTCCATTGTCATTTTTATTTGACTAAAGGGACTTTTTATTTCCTGGATTTCTGTTTGATTCTTTTTTCTGAGGTTTTCCATATTTTAATTCAACTCCTTCTTCATATCTTGTGCTGTCTTCTTTATTTCATATCTCTTTTTTAATAGTCTCTTTTGTTTCACTTTGGTGTTTGTTGAAATCCTCTCTGAGTTCATTCAGTTGTTTCTGTGTCTTCTCGTTTTTTATCTGTGGTGTCTTGATATTTCTTGAGTGTATCTTGTATTTCTGGTTAACCATGTCTTGTAGCTTCTCCATGAATTTTTCAGTAATTTCTTCCATGAATTCCTCTTTGAGAGATTTTTTTGTGGGTATCTCTTAGCTCATTAGTAACATTTATCATTGTTTTGTTGGGTTCAGGAACTGGGTATCCATTATCATCATTTATCACAAAATCCTCCCTTGAATTGTTTTCTTGAGGATTTCAGTTTCCTTGCCTCCTCTCCATGGTACTAATTGGTGCTGTGTAAATATGCTCTTGATTGGCTAGTTGGTGGTTTTTATTGGCTGTTTTCATTCCCTTGAAAGTTTTTGTGTTGTGACTGACTTGATTGTTATGTAGGTTGATGTGCTAAATGTGTTCCTGGCCTGGAAGTGTAAATTAGCAATTACAAATTCACAGGTTCCAAGACTAGTTGTTTGCATATTATGTAAAAGAAAACTCTTGGTGATAATATCTCTATACACTGGAAGTTGAGGGGGGTTAAAGGCTGTTTGGCTAGAGATGGAAATGGGTAATTGGTAAAGGTGGCACCAAAAGGGTGGGAGAAATGGTGATGTGGTATGTGTGGGTACAAGTTGTGGGGGTTGCTGGATTTTGGTGCCTTTGTGTGTATTTGGGTGTAGTTCCACTGTTGTAGTGGAGGTGCTTGTGTCATGGATTGCAGAGGGCTGGTAGTGTGTACACTTGGTATAGTATGCCCAAATTCTCAGAAATTTAACAAATCCAGTAACATTTGGTGTCTACCTTTTGGCATAATAATATGTCTGGGGTGTGGCCAGTGTGCAGAACAACAGAATTCTATTTTCCATGTTCTGAACTGTAAACTTGTATTAACAGAAATAATTTTAAAAATTCTATTATCTTTCTCAGGAGTTAGGATATTGTTGGTCTATATTGGATTTGCAGTCAAATAAAATGTTGCAAAGTTCCAGATTTGCTCCATATTGTAGTTCTGCATGATAGTATGATTTTTAGATGTAAATACAGTAGAGTCTTGGTGTGTGTGGATGTATGGTTCCCAGGAGCCCCTGACTAAGGAAAATCCACCAGTACTCGGGAAGCATAGACTTCAGCTATGTATATAGATGATTAATTCATTTTTCCCACAGTGCTGCCCAACTTCCACTAAAGATAGGTCACCTTTCAACAAATCTCAAATTTTTTCCTGTATTTATTTTCTAGTTATATAATTTGCTGTCAATTTAGTTGTAAATCTGGTTCACACAAAATACATTTTTGTTCATAAATCAATGTCTCCTCTTTTTAGATACAAAAGAGTTAAACCATTTACAATCATTTGAATATAATATAGTTTTCTTTCCTGACAAAATCACTATCATTTAGGAAAAACTGGAGTGAAATAATTATCATACACACTGAATGTATAGATGTTTGCATCTCCTGGTCTCAAAATATTTATTGGCTAATAATAAAAGGAGAGTTTCCTAGTTGTCTCTTTAAGATTTATGCTAAATTCTAATTAAATCTAAAAATCTTAGTATTAATTAAATATATAGGTAGGCATTTTCAGATGTTAAAGCACTCAATTCTCAATGCTATTTAACATACAATCTTCATTTTGTTTATTCCTATTGGTGCATAGACCTGGTGAAACTCAGAAGACATGAATGTAGGAACAAACGTGGATTAGCTGAGACATGACTTTGAGAATCATTACAAAGATAAGAGTGTGCAATACCTGATATTAATGGAAAGTGGGCTCAATACACTAGGTTTCAGCAATCACCATCACTAAAACTTCCAATATTAGACATATCTTCCAAAAATGAACACAAAATTCCAAGGTTGAATTCACTCCCCCAATATAGTCAGAATCCTTAGAGCAGGGTTCTGAAGAACTAACCATGTAAAACTACAGTACTTGCAAAGACATTTCATGGTGCATATTTAAAACAACAACAAATTGAAAAGACTTTTGAAATCTTTTAAATAAAAATATTTATTTCTAAGAATATATAAAATTTTAATTTATATTTGTGGTACTGGGGTATGAACTCAGGACTTACACCTTGAGCCTCTCCACCAGCCCTTTTTTTGTGATAGGGTTTTTTTTTTAAAGATACGGGCTAACAAACTATTTGCCTGGGCTGGCTTTGAGACATGATCCTCCTGATCTCTGCCTACTGAATAGCTAAGATTACAGGCATGAGCCACTGATGCCTGGCTTCGTATTGTCTATATTAATCTGAATTTCTTCAACTGTGCATGAAAAAATTCATCCTGAAATTTAAAGCCCTAACAAAGAGTCTCCTCATTGCCACCTTCATCTCCTTGTTTCTAAATGTATAGATGATGGGATTCATAAAAGGAGTGATGATGGCATCAAAGATAGCTAAAAATTTATCTATGGGTAAGGTAGGGAATGGCCACACATAGACAATAATGCAGGGACCAAAGAAAAAAAACACCACAGTGATGTGAGCTGAGAGAGTGGAGAGGGCCTTGGATGAAACACCTGAAGAGTGTTTATGAACCGTGACCAGAATGAAGACATAAGACACAATCAAGAGGAAGAAGGTGCCCATGGAGATGAAACCACTGTTAGCAGTGACCAGAAACTCCAGTCTATAGGTGTCTGTGCATGCAAGTTTGATGAAGCGAGGAAAATCACAATAAAAGCTATCCATTTGGTTGGGCCCACAAAAGGATAGGTTCACAACAAAAGCCAGTTGGGCCACAGAATGGATGATCCCAATGGTCCAAGCCAGAGCCAGAAGAGAAATGCACATTCTGAGGCTCATGACGGTCAGGTAGTGGAGGGGCTTACAGATAGCAGCGTATCGGTCATAGGCCATGACTACAAGCAGCACCATCTCTGTCCCACCAACAGTATGAATAAAAAACATCTGAGTGATGCAACCATTCAAGGAGATGACTTTAAGTTTTTTGAAGAGGTCATAAATCATCTTTGGAGTTGCAATGCTGGACACACCTATATCAATGAAGGAGAGATTTGCCAGCAAGAAGTACATTGGAGAGTGTACGTGATGGTCTGAGATGATTGTGAGCACAATGAGAAGGTTTCCCAGCATACTTGCTACATAAAATATGGTGAAAAACAGAAAAAGGAGAACCTGAATTTCCCAAGAACTGGTGAGTCCCAGCAACAAAAATTCAGACACCACTGAGTGATTTCCTCCATCCATCAACTTCACATGCAAGGATAATGCTGAAGTTACTGTTACCTGAAGAGCACAAGGGGAAAAACTTAATTCAAAGTTGAGAGGGATGTCCTGGATATAAAGCAATGACTTGAGTATAAAAGATAAAGACCTCCTTGACATTTTACACAGTTGGGTTTTACACAGTGCACAGACCCAACTCCAGACATTTCCCCATTATAGGCTTATTTGCTCATGTAATCTCAAATTTAGTTTTGGGCTTTACTGTATAATCAACAAAGGAAAATACAAACAACTCCCCTCAGAAGTTAGGGACAGGAATTTCAGGAAATGGAGAGCATTATACTTCCTAATTTCTTCTTGGGACAAGAATCACTGAATGGAAACATTCTAAACCAAGCAGGTTATACACAGAAACCTCAAAACATTCTCGAGCTTTTTTATTGGCATGTCTTTGGTTGCCTAGGTTTACAGTTATATCATCAATTCATTTTGTGGTTTAAGTTTGCATTCATTTCATTACCCTCTGTTAACATGGAAGTCTTACCATTCTTTTCTGTTCTTTTCATGGTCATTGTCCTTTTTCCAGTGACATTTGGCTCTACTGTTTTAAAAAAACAGATGTCAGATTTTCCCTCATCAATATGTTCCATTTCCTTTTTACTTTTCCCCAACACCATTTAAAAAATTTTAAATTATATTGTGTTGGGGGTACATTGTGACATTTACCAAAGTTATTATAATATGTCATAATTTAATTCATCCCCCCAACATCAATTAAGACAAAATCTTCAGAAATCTTTTGTCCTCACTTTGTTTCCTTCCCCTTCCCACCTAAAGTCAGTTCCTTTCATACTTCTGGAAATTCTGCAGGCTTTACATGTTCTGTCTCTGAGTCTATCCTCCATATCTTGTTTTCATGATTTCCATTTCATCATCTTTATGCTATGAGTTTAAAATGTTCAGTGACCGTGGTGTTCCAGCCTCAGATGTGAATTTCATGGATAATCTGCCCTCATTAAAATCAGCTCCTGGTGATTAGCCCTCTGAGTTATAAACTTGTATGTATTCAGTGTTCCTATTCTCTCACATATATGTAGCTAAGACAATTTCTTCAAATTCTGTCCTATCATAAAGTCTGCTCTTTATTTTAAAAGTCTTTTTAATTAAACATTTCCTTGAAGACAGAAATTCAAAAAATTTTAATATTTTAGTATTCAGCTGCTTTGGTCCTGAATGTTTACAGAGTCTAAAACGCTTTCATGGCTTTTTTTTGCAAAATATCCAGTGAAGGATGATCCATTCTTCATAGATTATAAAATAAGGACTGAGTGATTTTAAATGAATTTCATAATTTGTTTAGATAAGGAGTAAATTCAAGCCCAGTTCTTGGAATTGTTTGGTAAATGCAGGGAAGTAAACTATCTCAGGAAATACTAAAAATTAAACAGTTGTAATCTTCCTAAGAAGGGATTATAGGCGATTTTTCTCCTTTCTACTTTTATTTTGTAAATTTTCTATTATTTACATGTATTTCTCTTTAAAGAAAAACATTCAAGAGCAAGTTGACTCCAGAGTTAAGCAGTTTTTCATTATACTACCTTGTTAACTCACTGATAATCTACAAAGATAATTTTCAAAACTTTGAGAATGCATACTTCCCACCAGAGTAGTCTGTAGAATTTTATAGAAGACAATGTGGTTCTTTGGCATCTAAGACATTATCCTCAGATCCTCTGCCACCTCTTATCACAGTGCCATCTACCCTGCTGCAACATCTGCTACCTTTATACTCCTCTCTGGCTGTCCAAAGACTTCCACATATGTGACTCTTATATGTACTTAATTGTGCTATGCATCCTGAGTATCAAAGGCTGCTATAACTCTCTAACTCTCACCCTGCCCACCTTGCACACCTGGGAAAGCTACAAAAACCTTACATTCTACTTTTGAAACATTTCATACCCCTTTCTTAGACTCTATGGCAGTTTTTTCATGAGAATTGCAGTCTTCTTCATATTCATTGCATTAAAAAATAAAAAGGAGATAAAAATGAAAATCTGCAATCCTTAGAAGTGATTCAATACAATGATGCAAATGTCAACCCGATTTACAAAGAAATGCAGTCAGAAACAGAACTCTCTCTTACCTTAGTTAGATAAAAAATCTAATCTAATCTCAGATGAAAGGTCAATTCCTTCAAAAAATTGGAAGAACACAAAAAGCTTCAATTACACGAGAGATGTCATCCTTAAAGACTAAAATCAGAATTATTTTGTATTATCCTGAGAACTAAACGACAGAAATTGGGACTTTATCAACATATAAGCTGAAAGTAGAACTTAGGAACTTATTTATCATGGAAAACTAAAAGGAAATACAGAATAAGGGGATAGAAATGACTGAGGAATATAAAACCAGAAACTATCATATTGTTGCCTCCTCTTGGAACATTTTCTTCTGGTGAAGCTTCCCCTTTTGTTCAAGTTCCAGCTGTGTCTTTTCAACATAACTCATAGCTGCTCACTTGGTGCCATCCATGCCTCTCCAAGGACACACGTGTAACAAAAGTGTGAAATAAGAAATGAATTTTGAGTTATACTGAGGAGGAAAATGATTACTGGGCAATAGCTGGACACAGATGCTCTGTTCAAAGATAGGATGGGTTAATAACTAAAACGTAAAACATTTGTTCCATGTATGCTTTACCAGATAGCACCTGAGATGGGAGCATTTCTGCAGACTTGGAGGAGGAAATTTTCACATTCTGGCTGAGTTCATAATTTTTTCTAAAACAAAGAAGCTTATGTTGTTTTTCTCATCTAAAGAAGTTTCTAATTAGTGATGTGACTCCTGGTGACCAAATGACAGTACTGAGTCGGGGGAATAGTTAGTACTTCCTTGATTAGGTTTTTGTGGGAATTACACCTCAGAATCCACACTGCTTTCCACCATGGAATAAAAAGGACAAAAGAACATAAGACAAAAAGCAGCTTCTGGGTACCAGATGTAATGGGGACCAACATGGAAGCACAGAATGTTTTTCTCAATGGAGCTCAGGGGGAGTAACTGGTGAGAAATCCAGCACTTCAGAATACCTGAGAAGCAGAGCTGGAAGGAGAAAGAGTGTCTGCCTATTCTGAACTGACAATGGGGGCCAAGAAAATGAGAAACCACAGAACATAAGGCTATCTTTCACTTTGGTGGTCTTGGTTTTCTACATGTTTTGCAGTCAACAAGGCCCCAAACCCAGGATCTCAGGCTTCAGACTCTTTCCAGCAGAGATACTGTCTTGTTATTTGCACATTACTGGAGTAGAAGAACCATCATGTCATAAAGCTTTCAAATAAACATGTGATTTCCAGAAATACTTTCTATGACCTCATTTATTTATTGTTTATTTATTTTTCCCATGTAGATAGTGACTGTCCTTTTATTTTTTAATTAATTAATTATTTATTTATTTTTCCCATGTAGATAGTGGCTGTCCTTTTATTTTTTAATTTTTATTTTTAATTGATTTTGCATTTATTCATATGTGTATACATTGTTTGGGTCACCTTTCCCCCTGCCTCCTCCTCCTTCCCCATTACCACCCACCAGTCTGGCTTCCAGGCAGAACGTGTTCTGCCATCTTGTTCTCCAATTTTATTGAAGAGAAAACATAAGAGATAATAAAGAAAAAATAACATTTTTGCTAGTTTGAGATAAAGATAGTTATATAACAAGATTCCTAGTGTTTCCATGCATATGCGTATTACAAGCCATATTGGTTCATCCCTACCAGACCTCTTCACACTTCTTGGTCACCTTCCCATAGTGGCCTCTGCTAGTTTAAGATAACTTTATTCACTCCTATACAGACAGCACAACAACATCCAAATGTTAGGTTTTCTCCCCTTTCCATATGTGTTCTCCTCTTAGTGTGTGACCCATGTCCAATAATATTACTGAATTTCTTTTAGGTCTATGATCTGCATATGAGGGAGATCATATGATTTTTAGTTCCCTAAGCCTGGGTAACTTCGCTTAAGACAATGTTCTCCTGTTCCATCCATTTACTTGCAAATGAGAAAATTTCATTCTTCTTTGTTCTTGAATAAAATTCCATTGGTATAAATACCAAAATTTCTTAATCAATTTTTCAGTAGTGGGGTATCTTGTCTGTTTCCGTAGCTTGGCTATAGTGAATAGTGCTGCAACAAACATGGGCGTTCAGGTGCCTTTGGAATAACCTGAGTCACATTCCTTGCTCTTTTTTTTTGGTTGTTGTTCCTGTCACCAGCCACCTGTGTGTGCCAACCTGCAAAACAAAACAAATCCTGTTACTCCCCAAAAAACCCCAAAACCTGCACTGCATGGAGAGTTCAGTATTGGCCAGCAAGCCTTTTCCTGGGCATCAGACAAAAGCTGATGGGCACTTTTGGCCCTTTGCCTGAAGCACAAAGTAGGCTTGAGATGGCAAGGGTAGGTGATCACTAATAAACAGGCAGAATTTATCTACAATGACAAACATTAGAAAAAGTCTTTTAAAAAGAAAAACAGTTCCAGAAGCAAGGTAGTGGCTGCACCACCATGTGAGTTTTATTTCTTTTATCTGTTTGGACTGAAGCAAGCTCCAGTCCATTAAAGACTACTGGAAGGGCTAAAAATCTATGCACAAGACTGTAAACTGAGCCCTGAAAGTACCTGCAAAGTCCCAGACTTCAAAGAAGATAGGAAGAAATTCACTACAGAAGTGCTGTCTGCTGCCTGTGGCCCTGACCTCTTCTGCAGAGAGCAGAAAAGCTGCCTATAATCCATTCGGGACTGCATAATCTAGCTCAGCTGTGGGCTGATTGCACCACTCCAGAAGAAAGCTTTTGGCCCAATAAATGGAGTGAAATCTCCCTTGGTGAGTGAGGGAGTATTACTCTATGCAAGAAAAATAGTATAGGATGCATACTAGCCAAGCCTGAGAACAACCAGTGGGAAATAAAAACCATAATAACTCATTCTAACACCTCTGAGAAGCAAGTATATAG